GAGGGAACACAAGCAGGGGGAGTGGGAGAGGGAGAAGCAGGCTTCCTGCGGAGCAGGGAGCCTGATGCAGGCTCGATCCCAGGACCCCGGGATCTTGACCCAACCGAAGGCAGACACTTAACGACTGAGCCACCCAGGCGCCCCAAGAATGATGTCTTTAAAAGAAGATGAGACAAAACAGAGGGAGAGATTGCAATGATGAAGTTGTAAACCAAGGAAATTAATATACTGTTATTAACTAGTATACTTCTGTTCTGAAGAATAGTGAAGGCAAGCTTTTCATTTCTGTTTGATAAAAAAGATACAGGGAAATAAAAGCTATGAGGAGTCTTGAGATGAAAGACATTAACACATTGACAGGGTTATTTAGGCCTATGCAATGAGAGAAGGTAAACAGCTGAGCTTCCTTCAGCATGTCTCCCTCAGGCAAGAGCAAGGGTAGAAGCCAGTGGGTGCCCAGCCATGTGGCAATAACTTCTAAGGCCAGGAATGTAGGTATGCTTTGCTGTCTTTGGGCATGAGCTCATTGCCTCTCCATGAAACGGAGGCCTCATCTTCACTATCTCTTCCTTTTATACTCCACTGCTGGCTATTAAAGATGATGTTTTTGTATCTTAAGTTGATCTAAAGCTTATCAAGTGTGTGTGGGAATTGTTCAGGAACCTGAGCAGGGAAAGAAGCAGAGGAGGCTGTCCAGTGTCAGGAAGCTGACCTGCTGTGGGTGTGAGTGTGTGTGTCTTGTGCGGCTGCAGCAGGGGCAGGGACACAGAAGAGCACAGAGGGGGAAGAGGCCAAGGGAGGCTGTTAGTTTCCATAACTAAGGAAGACAGTTCAGGGACATAGCATCTTCCAATTGTGAACAATGAATTCTGTTCAGCGTACTCAACTCACTGGGTCTTCACCAATAAATAAGTCTAACCCAAAATGTTGGTACACTGAATAAGGCATATATTGCACCCAATGTACTTAGATCACCAAGGTTAGTTCAATAAATAACTGCCTGAGTCAAACTTGGTTCAATATATTAGATATCCTCTTTCAGAAGAAATACATTCATCTAGTATAATCCTGCCTTAATTTGCAAGCCATTCTATTCTTTCAAAATTTAAATACACTTTTAAAATGCCCTTTCATAGACCTGTACTCTGGAAAGTATAAAACACTGAAAGAAATTGAAGAGGACATAAAGAAAAGGAAAGACATCCCATACTCATGGATTGGAAGAACAAAGTCTATACTAACCAAAACAATCTACACATTTAATACAATCCCTATCAAAAGATCAACAGCATTTTTCACAGAGGTAGAACAAACAATCCTAAAATTTGTATGGAACCACAAAAGACCCTAAATAGCAAAGCAATCCTGAAATAAATTCTATAAATAGCTATGGTCAAAATACACTTTTAGAAATTACCCTCACCTGGACCAAGTTGTAAATGCACTCAGTAGAGTTCTTCTTCACGTCAGGGTCTGGGCTGGCCAGCAGTCTGATGAGTGGCTCTAACCCACCATGCTCAAATATTTGCACTTTGCCGGTATACTCTGCAGACATGTTCGCCAGGCAAAGACTGGCAAACTCATGGATAACCACTTCCTCTGCGCATCAGAGATAAACAACACAAGTATGCAAAAGGCTTACTCAAACATTACTTTAAAACATGTTTTGAAAACCAAAGCTTCACAAATCTTACTTGGTTGGAGCCCATCTTGGTTTGAGAGATTTTAATGACAATTCACAACTGATACTACATAAACTCTTTTCGATGAGTAGTTTAACCCAATGTGAAAAATAAACCAGCCCCGCTTTTGAAACAGATGTATGATGGAAAGTTACCTTCTGGAGCAAGCTGAGCAATGACAGAATTCATGACATCTAACTCCCTTAACAACTTTTTTACATCATCTACAAAAGGAGACACAGAATATTAATGTTTATTAATAATAATAATAATGGTGATGTTGTTGAAATAGTCCCTTATGAGGTAGGCTTTATTATTACCTAATTTTACAGATAAAGAAATTGAGGCTCGGGGCGCCTGGGTGGCTCAGTTGGTTAAACGACTGCCTTCGGCTCAGGTCATGATCCCGGAGCTCCGGGATCGAGTTCCGCATAGGGCTCCCTGCTCAGCAGGGAGTCTGCTTCTCCCTCTGACCCTCCCCCCTCTTGTGCTCTCTCTCTCTCTTACATAAATAAAATCTTAAAAAAAAAAACATTAAAAAAAGGAAACTGAGGCTCAAAATCACACAGCAAGTGAATGGTGGGACCAGGTGGCTTGCCCAGGTCTATCTGCCCCTAGACAGACTCTGGCTTCTGCTCCTTGATCACTGAGCTATACTACCTTCCAAAACACCAGAAAAATGCAAAATATGCCTAGAACATAATCAGTAAATTCAAGTTACTGTGCCCTACATGTGTTTATTATATAGTAGAAACTCTTTGTTGTGTTGCTTTGTTGGGAAGGGTATTTTTAAATTTTGATTTTAATAAAACTTGTACAGAATGAACATGAGAATTATCCCCAGGCTTTTCGATGAATATAACGTGTTTGCATTCCATTTTCTTATCAGAAATGCCAAAAATGATAAAAGATAAGTATACTGATTTTTTTTAAAGTTCACTTTTATATTATTTATGTGAGACTAAGTCTAGGCAGGTTTGCCCCTACTACTCTCCTGCCATCCTTAACCCCTGTTTTCTGAGAAATAAGGCATAGGTACGAATTTAGTTTTTGTAGTTTCTCTTCTTGGTCAATTATTTTTGCTTGTAAGCCAAAATTAGCATTACCAGAATTTTGGAAAATTTCGCTCTGCAGCAGCTAAGGCGGATGATCTCTGGATGAATTTTTCCTCATTAACTACTGGGTATACTTGACTTTCAAGCCACCAAAACTTCTGCTCTCTGTTTCTGTTCAAAATGGCTAAAGAGGGCCAGCAAATTTACAGCTAGCTCTATGTATGTGAGTAAGCTTGAAGTACAAAAGAATAGTAGAGCTTCTAGAAAGTATAGTGTCCCAAAGTGGAGGACATTAGTTTTCAGTCAACATTTGTTCAAAAAACAGAAGTATCACCATGACAGGGAATTAACCAAGTTAAGGCATAATACTCAGATCCTTCCAGGTGTTTTGGCGAACTATATGGATGGGTACCCTCTGGAAGAGCTATTTCTATTCTCTTCTCACTGTGAGGAGTCCAGGCTCTATTTTTCAAAATGAGAAGGCCATACCAGTCTATTTTTACGTGCTTGACGCAAAATATTTCTGGCCTTTTCGATCTCTAAGTTCATTCTCCATTCGAAATACAAAATAATATGTCGGGAACATTCATGCTCCATGTGCTCTCTGCACCTCTTCTCTGCAGGAAGGACCTGCTCCTTCAGGGAGAAGCCAGCTTGTTGCATCTGTATGTGCCATCACCCCTTGGTCTGTCCTGACAAGTCCAAAGTTCTCATCAGAGGATTTTCTGTGCCGTGAAAGGCCCTTCTTGATATGAATTTAGCCAAATGTGATACATCTAGTAGATCTATCCACTAAACCATTTTCTCTTGGCTCACCGGATGATTCAGCTTCACTGACAGTTCTTATAAATCGGTGGCATACCTGATCAATTTGTTATTCTGCTTTTTGACACCAAATTGCCCCCCCAAATCTTTCTTTTCTTGCAGTTAAATCAGTAAAAATAATAAAAATAAGGGATAAGCTGCTATTTTCAACACTTTAAAAACAATATTGCTCTCTGTCCCCTTCTCTCTCAACAGACTCCCATATATGACAGCTGAGTAGAAACTCTGACTTGTGGTTGGTCCACATAAATCCATTCTCGCTAAACAGTGTGACACCTACAATTTTAGATTGTTCCAGAACTGCCGTCACCTTCACTTCCTGGGGCACCTTCAAGTGATCTGTTTTCATTGCATTCTTATTTACAGGTTTTGGTTGCATAGTATTGACCATCTAATTTATTTTTGACCTGGTATACTCTTTTACATCAACCATTTCTTAAGATGGCAAGCTCTTCAGATTGCCATAAGTAATGTAAAGTCTGAGCTTCAAGGATCATGATGAACTCTCTCTTTAGCTGACTTCATTAAATGAGTCTCTGTTATATGGCCTCATCAAACTAAATACAAACTGGCAGGTAAAAGGAGACAGCAGCTCCATTTTGATAAAAAGGTTTAACAAAGTAATTTAAGTGCCTGTCTTGAAGGACCCAGGCTTGGCAAGGGCACGTAACTCAGTAACTTCAGAAAAAAAAGGAAGAAAAAGTAAGATTTGTTTGCTCTCATAGCAATCCTTTTAGCACCTGGCATTCTACTGGAACATTCTGTTGGATCATCCTCTATGAACATAGTGACATCACTGGATACATGAAAGTCATGTAAAGATACAAATTTCTAAAGAAAAATCAGTTATTTAAAAACAGCCCAAAGATGATTTAACCATGCAGCAGCAGAGGTACATTTATTTACATATTCGTCTGGAAACATGCCTTTTGATTTAGGCAAATAACTACGTGCTTATATTTTTTTTTTTAAGATTTTATTTATTTATTTGAGAGAGAGAGCATGAGAGGGAGGAGGGTCAGAGGGAGAAGCAGACTCCCTGCCGAGCAGGTAGCCCGATCCGGGACTCGATCCCGGGACTCCAGGATCATGACCTGAGCCGAAGGCAGTCGCTTAACCAACTGAGCCACCCAGGCGCCCCCTACGTGCTCATATTTTATCCCATGTCACCTTGGACATGTATGCAAAGTGAGCCACTAGCTATTAATGTATTGGCTGTATTTACAAAAAAGGAATTCCACAAGCAGTTGGGGATGCCATGTGTTTATCCATGTCATCAGGTAGTTCAAATAGACAAGGAGTTCAGTCCAATAATGGCATAATTTTTTCCACCCAACTCATGGAATCAAAAGAAAGCTCTTGGAGGTTCATTCATCACATGTAAGACCCAAACGCTCACTGGAAACCACCAAGACAACAAAACTCTTTCCAGTGTTATGCTTCGTCGTTGCAGACCGCACTCTCGTCTAGCACTGGTCACAGCCTGGCCAGCCTGTAGGTGTGGCTCGACAGGTCTGAGCACCACTGCATTTAGCCTCAAACACAACAGTAATTCTCAATATTTTGGGGTCACAGACTCCTTTAGAAACTCATGAAATTCAATATAGAAATCCTGCTCAGGAAAATTCTGCAAACAATTTGGAGGGCTTCACAGGTTATAAACTCCTCACATATTGGAAGATGGAAATACTCAATTAAAATGAGTAACAGAAATTAAGAACAAAAGTAAACAGGAAAGAAAGTCACAGAAACCTAGACCTTAAATTAGAAAATATAAGTATACGCAGGCAATTATAACTCTCCTTTCCAAACAAGCTGCATTCTCCCCCAAAATCACTTAGAAGGAGAACCTTAGTATGTGCACTAATGTTAAGGATCGGAGAAGATCTGATGAATAGAAAGCCCCCTACGCATGAGCCACAGGCTACAGTTCTAATTCTAGCTCTGATCTCATCTCTTCCACCAACCACCTGCGTGACTGTGCCAGGAACCTAATCCCTTCAGAGCTCGTTCCTATTTTTAAAATGAGGAATTGCAGGAATTGCAAAAGATGTGTTACAAAGCCCCACTGGTTCTCAAATTCTGTGGTGTATAAACAGAATAAAACATAAGAAATTTTTTAATTTTCTCTTTTTTTGGTTATAAATACATTCAATAAGCCTCATTCAATATGGCAGAATTAGTATACAGGCAGCCCCTGAGATAAATTTATGAGGGTTCCACAAGACAAATGATTACTACCTCATTTAACTGCTCTGTACCTCAGTTGCCTTATGTGTAAAGGGAACGATAATAGCACCAACCTCATTAAATGACAATATACAAATAGCATATAGAACAGTGCCTGGCACATTGTAAATGCTGTGTGAGTGTTGACTACTGGTATCATAATCTGGGTTGGTGGAACATCCTCTGTCCACAACTGTCTTCATCCTGCGGCCATCCGCCGAGCCCCTGCCTTACAGAACAGCCACCGTTCGAGCTCGGGCAGTTGCTGCCTGACGGAGCCCCATCTGTCCCCCAACACTAAAGGTGCTGTTCATGCAATCTCTGCAGCTGAGGCTGAAATCGCACAGATGCCACAGAAAACTCTCCTTGCCCTTCTCTTCCCATCTTCCTTTCCCTGACTAATGCCACAGTCCCTGATGGACGCCATGGAATAAGGAGTGCGCCACCCCCACCCCCGCCCCCAGCCCACTCTGTCTCACACAGGATTCAGGAAAGTGAAGTGGGGGGGCCGGAAGCTGAGGGAGGAAACTGCTTGTGTTTTTGCTGAGACTGGTGAGAGGGAAAATATGATAATTTTAGCCCCATGCCATGAGAGAGAGAGAGAGACATGTTTATTCCTAGCTGCCTGAGTTTCATGTTAGAATTCAGTCTCTACCAAGAATGTCATTTTTTATTATAAAATCAGAAGGCTTTTGTTGGCTAACTCAAAAAACCTACCATTATAACATGAAAATGACTTTCAAATGGAAAACACATCCTGTTCATTAGTCAGGGACTGCCTTTATTGCCATGGTTTTGGTCAAACTGATATTCTAACAGACATAATAGCACGTTTTAACTAATGCTATTATTCTGCCATATTAAATATATGAAAATATTCAAGCAAGTAATGGGTCTGATTTAAGAAATAAAAACATGTCTAAAATTATTTTTGGCAAAATATATTTTGCAGTTTCAAAAAAAAAATAAATGTATCAAACCTCTTTACCCTGGGCTACTTTCATTGTGACATACATATGAAGTGTAGCTTACATATAGACAGACAAATTATATTATGCTAACTCAAGAAAAATATCTATTTTAATTTTAAGAGACAATGATTGCCCTTCAACTTGTTAGACTGGAACATACTACATCACCAACTTTGACAGTTTTTGCATGGATAAATTTCCACGTATTTTTGTATTTTAAAAATATCTCTTGGGGTGCCTAGTGGCTCAGCTGGTTAGCCTCTGACTCTTGGTTTTGGCTCAGGTCATGATCTCAGGATCCTGGGATGGAGCCCTGCATCTGGCTCTGTGCTCAGCAGGGAGTCTGCCTCTCTGCCTCTTTCTCCTTCTCCCTCTGCCCCTCCCCGCCCCCGACCAGCTGGCGCACTCTCTCTAAAATAAATAAATAAAACTTAAAAAAAACTCTTAAAATATGAAATCATACATCTGTTGAATTATACACATTTAACTTCTTGTTAACATTAAAGTCAGTTCAAATAAAATTCAAACAAATCCCTTAAAATTAAATTTTGAAAAGATAATGTATTATGTGAGATTATTAGATAATTTTAAAAAGTTGACACTTACTGTTAGAAGTCAGGATTCCAAATATCATAGTAGCATTTCTCCTTACAATTTTGTTTTCATGGGTGAGCAGTTTAGTTAAGGGTTCCACAGCTCCAAGTTCAAGGAGGGTAGCTTTATTTTCTTCACCTGATGTCATAGGTAAAATAAAATCATGCATGGATAGCATCAATCTCATCAAAACTCTTCCTCGTGTCATTTTAATTTCTTATTTGCCATTTGCCTTTCACATTCCTCTTTGCTTCCACATATATTTCTCTCGGAATAAACTTTAGAGCACAGGTAGCCTGGACAATAGCTGTTCTCCTTCCTCCTGCTGTCGACAAAGCTGGCTTCCTCTTGCCATTCAGTTCTTAGCTCACCCTGCACGTGCTCAGAGGGGTCTCCCCTGACCACCCTATGTAATGTTAATGTTATCACTACATCCAAGCCTTTCTTATCCTTCTTTAGTCTACCTTCTTCACACCACTTGGGGATCTCCTTGAACACTTTGCCTGTTTCACTCTAACTTTTAATTTTTCATGAGGACAGATACCCTTTCCGTTCTAGTCTCTCATATCCTCAGTGCCTAGCATAGTGCTAGTCATGGACTGGCATAATTAATCACAAGACCTAATTAACATACACAGTCTCCACTTTGAGTTAAAGTGGAATGGTGGGGTGAGTTCAGGGGGTTCATTTTTCACCCAACGGGGTTACAGTTCCTATTTTATCAGGCAAGATATGCCTGCAGCTAGCATGAAGGTATGCGCACAGAGGGGAGCACTGGGGTCACTGGGGACTACTTAGCTGTGGCAAGAAGCCCCAGAACCAGAAAGCCAGATAAGGCCAGAGTCCTGCTTAACTGTAGAAGCAGTTTGTCCATATCTTGATGAGCAGGATAGCATTCTACAAAGTCAGGAATAATGTTTAAATCCTGATTAATTTCAGCTTTTCAATTTCACAGGCAATGAAAATACAGATTTCACTTTCAAAATTAATTTGAGAGTATAAAAAAGTCGTTTTAACTTTTCTTGCCTTAGTTTTCTCATAAAATTAGAGTATTTTATATTTTAAGTTATAGGTTCACATTCTGATAAGACACTGACTATAGCTTCGTAGAGCCCATGGAATTGCCCTGTATCTAAATGGTCAAATCTGTCGCCTGGTAAGAATATGTTGAAATATGCATTGTTGACTCTTACAAACTTCTTTTCAAATCTTCCAATATTTGCATTTTATGGAAATTTAAAACTTAATTTCTTAGATGAAAACATTTTGTCAAATGAATCTTATTTAAGACAAATTTTAAGATACTAATGCTTAAGTAAAAACATATTTTATATATCAGATTGTTATAAAAATTGAAAGTTCCTTTAAATTTTCATTCTGAGACTTTTATTACTTTTATTTACTTTTATTAACTTGAATTATTTCTTCATTAAAACATATTTCTTCTTCTTCTTTTTTAAATAATGCTATATATTATAACTTTATGATCAGAAGAGGATTTGCAAAATTAATAACCTGTGTCATCTTTTACATCTATTTTTATTCTTTTTTAACAGCTTTAATGAGATGACATACAATAGACTGTACATATTTAAAGAAAACGACTTGATAAGTTTTGACATGTGTTTAACGCCCATGAAACCAAGTGCCACCATGAAGAACATATCTAACACCCCCAAAAGTGCCCTCTTGACACCTTGTGATCTCTTCCTCCTATTACTATACATTATTTTGCATTTCCCAGAACTTTATATAATCATGCAGTATGAATTTGTTATTGCCTGGTTTTCTCACTCAGTCTAATTATTTTGAGATTAATCCACGTTGTAGCATGTATCATAGTTCATCCTATTTATTGTTATTTACTATTCAATTATATGGATATACCATGATTTGGCTGGATCATATATGGTTGGTTTACATTTAACTTTTCGAGAAACTGCCGAACTGTTCCAAAGTGGATGCAAAAATTCCAGAAGTTCCCCATCCTAGCCAACACATCTGTCCATCTTTCTGATGATAGTAATCTTAGAGGGTGTGAAGTAGTATTTCATCATGGTTTTAATTTGCATTTCCCTCACAACTAATGATGGCGAGCAAAAGGTACGCTTATGCCATCCATATATCTCTTTGGTGAAGTGTGTGTTCAAATCTCTTGCTCGTATGTATTTTTAAATTTTGTTTGTTTTATTATTGAGTTCTGAGAGTTATTTATATATTCTGGACACAAATCTTTTATCAGATATATGATTAACAAAAATTTTCTTGCTGTCTATAGTGTATCTTTTTAAAAAATTACTAGACTTTTTTTGAGCAGTTTCAAGTTTATTAAAAAATAAACAGGGGTGCCTGGGTGGCTCAGTCCGTTAAGCAGCTGACTCTGGATTTCAGCTCAGGTCATAATCTCAGGGTCCTGGGATCGAGTATTGTGTTGGGCTCTGGGCTCTCTCCCTCTGCCTTTCCCCCCGCCTCTGCTCATGCTCTCTCTCTCTCAAATAAATAAATCTTTTAAAAAAATGAACAAACAATACAGAGTTCTCATATACTCCATCTCCCTTCCCTCCCCCATTTCTCTTATTATTAACATCATGCATTAGTGTGGTACATTTGTTACAATTGATGAACCAATATTGACACATTACTATTAACCAGAGTTGATAATCTACATTATGGTTCACTATATGTGCTGTACAATTCTACAGGTTTTGAGAAATGTGTAAGATTATGTTTAGCTTTCTAAGAAACTACCAAATCATCTTCCAAAGTACCTGTACTATTTTGGACTCCCACCAGTGATGAATCAGAGTCCCTGTTGTTCCACATCTTCACCAGCATTTTATGTTGTCAGTGTTTAGAATTTTAGCCATTCTAATAGGTGTGTAGTGATATTTCATTATTGCTTTAATTTGCAATTTCCTGATAACATATGATGTCTTTTCACGTGCTTATTTGCCATCTGTGTATCTTTTTTGGTGAGGTGTGTGTTTAGGGTAAATTTGATAAAATCCAATCAATTGTCATCTTATGGATTATGTTTTAGTGTCATATCTAAGAAACTTTTGGCTAACCCAAATACTCTTTTGGTAGCATCCCACAAATTTTTATATGTTATGTTTTCATTTTCAATTTGGATTTTCCTATTGAATTCTTTCACTGACAGATTATTTAGAAATGTGTAGTTTACGTTCTATTTAATGATTGTCCAGAGTCCTTTGTGTTAAGTGATTTTCAATTTAATTCTATTGTGGTATGACGTATATTTTATATGATTGGAATTCTTTTAAAATAAATTTATTAAGGCTTGTATTATGGCTCAGAATATCACCTATTTTGATAAATGTCCTGTTTGTATTTGAAAAGAATGTTATTCTGCTTGGAGTGTTCTATAAATATCAATTAGGTTAAATTCATTTATATCGCTGTTCAAATCTTTTATATTCTTACAGATTTGCTATTCATTTGTTCTTTCATTTATTAATAGAAGGTTATTAAAGTCCTCAGCTATAATTGTGGATGTTTATTTCTCCCTGCATTTCTAACTTCATGTATTTTGAAGCTCTGACATTATAGGTTTTTTCATAGCTTTTTTTCTTTTATTTAAATTCAATTTAGTTAACACATACTGTAATATTAGTTTCAGGGGTAGAATTCATGATTCATCAGTTGCATATAACACCCAGTGCTCATTACATCAAGTGTCCTCCTTAATGCCTATCACCCAATTACCCCATCCCTCCACCCACCTCCCCTCCAGCAACCCTCAGTTTGTTTCCTATAATTAAGAATCTCTTATGGTTTGCCTCCCTCTCTGTTTTCATCTTATTTTATTTTTCATAGCTTCTTGATTAATTGACTCTTTTATTATTACAAAATGAGGTTTTTTATCTGATACTACTCCTTCATTATTCTGATATTAGTATAGCCACTCCAGCTTTCTTTTTTTTTTTTTAAGATTTTATTTATTTATTTGAGACACAGAGATACAGAGAGAGAGAGAGCATGAGGGACAGGGAGAGGGAGAAGCAGGCTCCCCACTGAGCCAGGAGCCCGACGTGGGGCACAATCCCAGGATCCTGGGATCGTGACCTGAGCTGAAGGCAGACGCTTAACCATCTGAGCCACCCATGGCACCCCTCCAGCTTTCTTTTGATTAGTGCTAATATATCTTTTTTTTATCCTTTTACTTTCAAGTTATTTGTGTCATTATATTCTAAGTGCATTTCTTGGATGCAGCATGTAGTTTGGTCTTGCTTTTTATAGACTATAAAACTATCTCCTTGTTAATTGAGTACTCAGCCCATTAACATTTAGTTGGATTATTGATAACATTAGGTTTGAGTCTACCACCTTGTTATTTGTTTCTTGTGTGTCTCATTATTCTTTTTTTCCTTTTTTTCATTTCTGCCTTCTTTGTATGAATTGAATATTATTTTTATGATTCCATTTCATTTCCTTTGGTGGCTTATTTGATATTACTCTTTGTTATTTTAGTGGTTGTATTAAAGTCTGTAGTATACATCCTTATCACAGTCTACTTTCAAGTCGGGATAGAGCACTTCACATATAGTGCAAGAACCTTACAATAGTATATACTTCCATTTTTCTGCTTCCTACCTTAGTTCAGTTGTTGTCATATATCTTATTTTTACAAGTGTTTCTGCACAGTAAATGATTACTATTTTTGTTTAAGATAACCAATTTGATTTTTAAGTGATTTAAATAATGAGAAAAAACTTTCTGTGTTACCATTTCTAGTGTTCTATCTTTATTATTTTGTGTAGATCCACATTTCCATCTGGTATCATTTTCCTTCTTCCTTTTTTTTTTTTTTTAAGATTTTATTTATTTATTTGAGAGAGAGTGAGAGAGACAAAGAGCACAGGAGGGGGGAGCGGGAGAGGGAGAAGCAGACTCCCTGCTGAGCATGTAGCCCGATGCGGGACTTGATCCCGGGACTCCAGGATCATGACCTGAGCCGAAGGCAGTCGCTTAACCAACTGAGCCACCCAGGCGCCCTCATTTTCCTTCTTCCTGAAGGACCTACTTTACTATAATTAGTAGTGTGGGTCTGCTTGCAATAAACTACTTCAGCTTTTGAATGTCTGAAAGAGACATTATCTCACTTATGTTGTTGAAAGATATTTTTGCTGGGAATAAAATTCTAGGTTTAAAGTTTTTATTTTTCTTTCAGTATTTTAAAGATGCTGCTCCACTGACTTCTTGCTTGCATCATTTGTGATGATAAATCTACAGTCATCCTTATTTTTGTTCCTCTGAATGTAATGTGCTTTTTCCTCTGGCTTCTTTTTAAGATTTTCTCTTTATCACTCTTTTCAAACAATTTGATTTTGTTATACCTTGCGTAATTTTCTTCATATTCATTGTGCTTGGGTTTTTATGAGCCTCTTAGATCTGGAAGCTTAGAGTTTTTGTCAAATTGGGGAAATTCAGAGCCATCATTTCTCCTAATACCTTTTCTGTCCCTTTCTCTTCTTTTTCAAAGACTCCAGTTACACATATATTGTGTCAGTTTTTATTTACTGATGATTTTATATCCTCATTAGGAGTTATATTTTCCTGCTTCTTTTCATGCCTGGTAATTTTTTATTGGATGCCAGACATTGTGAATTTTACCTAGTTGGTAAATGGTTATTTTTGTATTCTTCAAATTTGTTTTGGGACACAATTATCTGGAAACAATTTGATCACTTTAGGTCTTGCTTTTTAAATATTTATTAGGTAGTACTAGAACAGAGCTCGATCTAGGGCTAATTATTTCTTTTTTTTTTTTTTTAAAGATTTTATTTATTTATTTGAGAGAGAGAGAATGAGAGAGAGAGGACACATGAGAGGGGATAGGGTCAGAGGACGAAGCAGACTCCCTGCCGGGCAGGGAGCCCGATGCGGGACTCGATCCCGGGACTCCAGGATCATGACCTGAGCCGAAGGCAGTCTCTTAACCAACTGAGCCACCCAGGCGCCCGGGCTAATTATTTCTAACTATTGAAGCAAGACCCTTCTGTGCATTCTATACAATTCTCCATGAATCTTGAGATTTTCTAGTCTGGCTGATGGAAACAGGCACCACTTGTGGCCCTGTGTGAGCATCAGACACTGTTAACTCTGATCATGTTAAGTGCTTTGTCTGACTTCAAGTAGTTCCCATATATATACCTCCTTATCAGTACTCAGCTGAACACTTGATTCGGACCCTTTGCCTATCTCCTGAGTTCTCTTTCTTTGAAACTCTTTCCTCTCTGTTACTGAAAACTCTTGCTACCTTTGTCTCCCTGAACTCTTAGATCTGTCTTCTCAACTCAGAGTCCACCAAGCTCTGTACAAGTTACCCTTTCCTGTGATGTGGCTGCAAATTCTCTGAAATTGATAAGCTGGGGTAATCATAGAGTTTATTTCCTTCATTTCCTATCTCTCAATGGTCACTGTCCTTCATTGCCTAATATCAAGTGTTTTGCCCACTGTTATTTCATAGATTTTTGTTTTCTTAGTTGTTTCAATCAGGAAAGTAAATTTGACCCCTTGGTCCATCATGGCCAAAAGGCAACATCCTATCATTTATCTTAAAAACACAGTCAGAAAATACTGCTAGTATAAAACACCAGACTTACAGTAATTTCTGTATTGACTTCACATAAAATATATGCCTACCTATTTCTTTACCTCATGTCATTTAAAAAAGATGGCATTTGATGACTCTGTATGGCTGAGTGAGACTCATGTTGCCATAACTGCATGATCCAGTGTCTCCCTGATATCTGGCCCAGAATTCTACACAATTACTCATGAACCATACCTGCCAGAAGCAACGATTCTGGTTTTTATCTGGATTCCCAATGATGACTAGAGTGATATAGCAAGGTGAGTATTTCACCATTTGCTACTTGAGTGATTTGTTGTTTTCTCATACAAGTCCTAAAACAATGTTTAAAGTATCATTTCCTTAAAAATCAAATTGCCCCCTTCTTAGTTTAAAAGGTTTTGTTAAAAATACCAAGTTATACTAAACTCTTCAAGTATCCTCAATTAAAATGTTATACAGTATAATAAAAGTCTACTTTTATCACCACTTGGAATGAACTAAAATATAATTGTCATTTATGTTTGTAAACCCTCTATGAATAAACCTTGCAATAGAACCTAACTTGTACCATGTATAGTGTTTTAATAAACTTTATTTTTTATAACAGTTTTAGTTTTACAGAAAAATTGCAAGGATAGTACAGAGTTACCACATATCCCATACCCATTTTCCCCTGTTATTAACATTTTACATTAGTGGGTACATTTGTTACAATTAATAAATCAATATTAATATGTTACTATTAATTAAAGTCCATGTTTATTCAGATTTCCTTACTTTTAGCCTAATGTTCCTTCTCTGTTCCAAGATCCTATCCAGGGTCCCCTATGACATTTAGTCATATATCCTCAACTCCTCTTGGCTGAGAGTTTCTCAGACTCTTCCTGTTTTTGATAGCTGTGACAGTTTTGAGGAGTACTGGTTAGACGTATTTGTAGAATGTCCCTGACTTGGAACTTGTCTGATTTCAGGGTTATAAGTTTTGGGGAAAAATAACAGAAGTGCCATTTTCATTACATCATGTCAAGTTCACATATTATCACTATGACTTATCACTGTTGATGCTGATTTTGATCACCTGACTGAATAGTGTTTGTCAGATTTCTCCACTATAAACCTACTCTTTTTTCCGTTTCCATATTGTAATCTTTGAAAAGAAGTCACTATGCAAAGCCCATACCTAAAAAGTGAAAAGTTATATTCTGCCTCCTTCAGGTCAGAGTACATAAATTATTTGGAATTCTTCTGCATGGGAGATTTGTATTTTCTCCCCCATTTATTTATTTATTCAAGTATTTATTTATATCAGTATAGGCTCATAAATATTTATTTATACTTTGGGTTATAATCCAATACTACTTTATTTTCTTGCTCAAATTGTTCCGGCTTTGACCACTGGGAGCTCTTGCAGCTCCTGTGACTTACAATTTTTTAAACAACAATAAAACCTTCAACATGACTATTCTATGCAGTGACTAAATTACTCCTCAAGATTAAGATAGGCACTTAGGGAGATATATTAGTTTCAGGTAATGCATTAAAGGATATTCTGGTTGTCTGAAAGAATTCATCTGACAAGAAGTGAATTAAAGACTAGGGAGAAAGGGCCTATTACATAGTAAATATTTTAAGAAACTAATGAAATAGAAAAATAAACTGAAAAAACCAAACCTTTTAAAGCAAATCTATAAATGGCTTCACATGCTTTAGCCAAAATTTCTTCTTCTGGAGAATTAAGCATTAACACCACAGTTGCTGCTTCTTTGCTTTCAATCATTAATGGATCAAACTGAAATGTAGAGAGAAAAAAACGTCAAGTTCACATATGAGCTTTAAAAAACACGTAGAAAATGAATGGTGTCTAGAAACTTGAAGAGAACATAATCATACTAAAAGGATGTGGTCACTGCCCACGAAGTGCACTGTAAAGTTTTAATTTAAAAAACATCACTGATAGAGAGTTGCCAGTATTGGTGACTTTCGAATTCCTGGGGTAATGGCAGGAAGAGCAAAGCATTTTGGAATCTGACAGACCTAGTCTCTCAACTTAGCCATGTGGAATCAAACAAGTTACTTAAGCTGCTAGAATTTCAGTTTTCCTTTCCTGTATAATGTGTATAATGATACCTATTCTTCCCGAAGGATCAAGGAGAGGATTAGAAATCATATATGCAATGCACTTAGCACACTGTCCGGCACATAACAGATGATCATTAAATAACATATACTAGCATAATTCTTATTTGATACACAAGAATCCTTGAGTACCTGTATATATTAGATGCCCTGACAGTCCTAATATTCAGTACTTGCTTCTAATCACTATTCTTTGAGAAAGCAGAAATTACATATGTGAAATAACTAAAAAGCAATAGAAAACCACATATAACAAAATGTAAAATTGGATAAAACCTGAAACAGATTTTACGGTAATGGTAAAATGGTAATATGGTGTAAAGAAAAAGTATAGAGCTCTAGGAAGATCTCTATTGTGTTATGAGATCTTGAGAATTCATGGGTAGGCAAAATGCACAATAACAAATTCATGGCTCCTATGGGTTTTCTTCGGTCAAGGTGGAAACAAATTATTACACCATTTTTCTTCCATTTCCAGAGACTGGTGAAGGAGGGTGTTCTGCTTATGTTAAAGGAAAAAAATGAATTTCAAAGTTTTAGCTGGCTCTTTGTGTTGGCCCTTCCTAAATGGACATCTTATTGTGTCTGGGGATATAATTAAAATTGGTGTTCAGTTTCAGGCTGAGAATGGAGGGACAGATTACTCTAAGTAAGGAAGCATAATTGTGTGAGGTTGGGAGAGTGAAGAAGACAGAGAAGAGAGCAGTAAGCAATGACCTAAAAGGGCACAGCTGGGATAAAAATCCCCCTTGCAGGGGAAATGGCTGTTGGATTTCAGGACAGCATTATCTAACATCCAAATTAAAGCTGTTGTTTGTGTATGTCTTACTCTATACTAGAAACTCTAAGAGTTACAAAAGTCATAGTGTTTGTTCTCAAGCATCTTGGACTCTTTCTGGGGACATAAAACTTCACTAACATTCTGCCCGGGGTGCCTGGTGGCTCAGTCGGTTAAGTATCTGCCTTCGACAGGTCATGATCTCAGGGTTTTGGGATCGAGCCCTGCATCAGGCTCCCTGATCAATGGGAGTCTGCTTCTCCCTCTCCTTCAGCCACTCCCCCTGCTTGTGCTCTCTCTCTTTCTCATAAATAAATTTAAAAATCTTAAAAAAAAGAAAAAAAGTCTGCCACATGCACCAAGCTTGTGGCACTTGTGGTTTTCCAGTGACATGACCAGTGAGAAAAGATGGCCCCTGTAGCGGAGCCCAGAGCAATGGCAAAGACACTGGCTTCAACACTGATCAGAAGAGCACAATGGCCCAGAAATCCACAGAAATTTTAAGGGAGGACTTCTGAAACTATTTGGGGATTGAGGCTTGAAAACCATCAGGCACTCCTAAAGTCAACAAGTATATTAACTATATATTTAAACAAATTACTTGGCAAATGCTCCAGTCAAAACTGAGGAAGACAAAATATAAAAACAATAGTAGTAGATCAATAAATACAATAAAATACATAGTTAAGCTGAATGATAGTGATGTTGTGAATCACAATGTAATTCTTAAGGATTTCTGAAGTAAAGATGACACATTATGAGAAAAAAATTAAAAATGACTTGGAATTAAAATTCTAGAAATTTTTCAACAAAGCTCATGTAAAGGAAATAGGATTGCTCTGGTAGAGAATGAGATTATTGCCCAGTTATAACTTATTTTTTACATTGATATAAAAAGCAGACTTAAATATGTGTTTAATAGACTACAGATAAGTAGAAGTTCCAAATTATCAAAAGGAAAGGGTAACAAATGAAAGTTGCTCAATTTAGAAAAAGGGAAGAAAGTACAAAAGAGACACAACATGAAAATATAGCAGAGACATCTTAAACTTAAAATAAACCTTAAACTTAAAATGATAGGAATAAAATCAAATATATCAATGACCAAAATAAACATCTATAGGGCCAATAGATTTCATTAATTAAGATTGTCAGATTGGGTTAAAAAGCAAAATCTACTCTGTTTTTTGTATATTGGTGCATATTTCTTCCACTTGATCTTACAGAATACAAATTCAGATCTAAGATATAGAACATTTCTATCTCCGCCTCACGCTCCTTCCCCCTCCAAAAAATCCTCAGAAAGATCATCGTTATGTGACTTTTAAAATCATCAATTAGTTTTTCCTGTTCTTAAACTTTATATAAAGAGAATATATATGTATATTTATATATATAATATATATTCTATAACATAATTTATATAGAGAGAGAATCATAGAACATGACTTCTTTCACCTCTGCCTTGTTTAGCACAGCACATCTCTGAGATTCATTCACATTTTTGTACTACTAAGTCATACTTTCTATAGCTGAATATTATTCCGTTGTATGAAGGTTTGGGTTCTTTTCTTTCAGTTGGAGGCAATCATGAACAAAGCTGCAATGACTATTCTTGCACATGTCTTTTTGTGGATATGTGTCTTCATTTCCCTTGGGCACATACCGAGGCATGGATTTGATGAGCCATAGGCTAGATACGTATTTACCTTTCACAGATACTGTTGAACAGTTTTCTAAAGTGGTTTTATCAATTTATATTCCCACTAGTTATAAATAAGAGTTCCAGTTGTCCCACATCCTCACCAATCCTTGGTATTTTCAGTCTTTTTTAATTTGCCTTTCTATAGCTCTTAGATTATATTTTTAAGTCAATCTGCTTTTCATGGTTGTTGCAGTGGAAGAAATGCTCTACTGCTCTATATTACTACTACCGCATCCTGGCCAGAAACAGAAGCATTCTCATCACTTTTTAAAATTCTCTTATGTCCCTTCTACTGACTCTGACTCAATACATCCGTCTATCTCTCAGCTTTGTCTTCTGCCATCATGCTTGATACTCCCATCGATTTTTCTTTGCTTCCTCACAGAGAGGTTTCCTGTAGCACCCACAGTGTTCAGTCTTTGAGGATTTCTTGGTAGCCAACAAGCAAATGGTGGAAGATAAAGCTTCACTGTTCAGCTACTCCCACTACAGCTATTCCTCCTCCTCACTGGGGTCCCCACGCCATTCACTCCCTCTATTTCCACTTCAGCTTTCTCGTTTCTTCACTTTACTTTTTATCCTGCTTAGATTTCATGATCTATTATCTTAATAACACTCCTGCCAAACCCTAAATAAACCTTTGTGTCCTTCTGTCTTCTCATCAAATCAATTTATTTATTTTTAAGATTTATTTATTTGACAGAGATAGAGAACACAAGTAGGCAGAGCAGCAGGCAGAGTGAGAGGGAGAAGCAGCTCCCCGCGGAGGAAGGAGCCCGATGTGGGGCTCGATCCCAGGACTCTGGGATCATGACCTGAGCCGAAGGCAGCCGCTTAACTGACTGAGCCACCCAGGCACCCCTCATCAAATCAATTTAAAATACCCAAACCATGAACAGACACTAGAAATTTCTTTCTTTGCATTTGGCTCAAGCATCCGAGCATTCTAAGAGAATGTTAAACTACAGGGAAAATTAGTATTACTGTAAATTTATGATCAACAAATTCACAAGAGCCTCTGCACATATTCTTCTATTGTGTTAAAGAAAATGTGTCTCTTCGAACCATGAGAGACGATGGACTCTGAAAAACAAACTGAGGGTTCTAGAGGGGAGGGGGGTGGGAGGATGGGTTGGCCTGGTGGTGGGTATTGAG